CCWGCACTAGGGAGAACAGGCATCTTGTGATTTTCCAAGTTTCACAATGCAGAGCAGGAAGATGCTGTTCTTTCCATACCCATTCTGCATATTCAGATTTTTCCATTAGTGTCCTTTCTCAGCAGGAGGAGAAAATTTTGCAGTAGGATAGGAAACAGGGAACTGAGCAGTGGGGAGAGAGGGAAAGAACTTGTCACAAAGTTTTTGCAATACTTGTCTGAGAAGCAATCTTCTCTAAAGGTGTTTCCAACCATCAAATTCCCTCAGCACTCAGACTCTGAGCCCTGAGCTGGCAAACTGTTGGYTGCTGTCTGTTGAGCCTGTATGGGATTTAGGCACCCATCCCTTGCTTGCTTTCCTTCATCCTGGAGCATTATCTCTGCAGCAGTGTGCAGGCTTCAGATCGAGCTCAGCTCCCACTGAGATGGGAAAGTCTCATTCTCCTGTTCTCACAAAATTGCTTTTTGAGGGTTGCATACATTACAAAATAGCACAGTTATGAAAACATGGTGTACACCAYATATTCTTTCACTGGTTGTTCTTGTTTCTAAGAGTACTTCAGACTATTATTGTGTTTGTTATTTTCCAGTCAAAAAAAAAGTAATTTTTCTCCTGTCAATTCAGAGCTGAAGCACAGCCACAAACACAGCTTTGAAAAGCTGGTGTTTTGCTCCTCTGTCTGGTAACTCTGCTGACCTGAAAATAACCTAATGTTTCTGTGCCAGTTTAATTCCAGCTGCTACATGGACTTCAGTATTAAAATATATTAATTTCAACAGGAAAAAAAAATCTGGAATTTGTTTTTCTAATTGGCTGTAAAAGTTGAGGGAGGAAACACCAGTGGGGATCCATTTGAGCAAGTTATAGACAGCTGGGCTGTATTTATGCTGTAGAAGGAGCAGCCACTCGCCTCTCTGAAAGCTGGGATCTGGCTGAGACTGCCCAGCATCCAGGATTTGTGGGCCACAGCTGTATGACAGCTTCTCAAATATGGATCTTTTTCTTCACTTTCCAAAGCTRTTCTTAAAAAGGCATTTGAAAATGGGAACAGGGAGTGACTAGTCCCAGAAGTCAGAGACAAAGGAGTGGGCTCTCTTTGAGTAGAGGGAGATAAGGACAGGCCAAAAGACTGTGCATTGTGTCAGACACTGGCACTCTCTAATATGCTGTCAGCCTGTGGTGGGGTTGTTTCCCAGAAAGTCCCTGTTCTGTCCCAATTTATCACCTGCAAGAGCTTCAGGTCAATGATGGACTGAATTCTGCAGCTCCTCCAGGAACTGCTAGGGCTGACTCTGGGCAAGTGAGAGACCATAAATCCTTTTATTCCTCCAAGTGGTGGAAAGCAAAAGACACTCAGCTGTGCTGCAAAGMAGGAGTTATCAGGGTGCCCTGCTCACACATTTAAACAAATCTCTGTTGTAATTTCTTTATCAAACAGATCTGACACCCATATCTCTTCTGCACACCAAATATTCTCCTGGGGCTTGACACAAATACTGTGGTGGTCTGTGTAGTCTATTTAAGAGGCAGGAAGCTTTGTTTTAAGTCTACCCACTGCTGTAGTGGGTAGACATAAAGTTTTTCCTCACTTTTGAAGCTTTACTTAAGAAAATGTAATGGCTTTGGAAGCTGTATTATATTGGTTGACACACTTAAGTTCCCAAAGAGCATTTTATGGTAAGATGCAAGAAAGAGTTGCTTTTCATCTGTCTTTCACAGAAACTTGTCTTTACTACGTCTGCTTTTCTTTGGGATATTCTAGTTGCAAAACAGTATTTGACAGCATTCTTAGTGCTGCTGAAGAAATTAGCCACTCTCTTCCAGTCTTAGCCTTTGCCATCCAGTCTTTGCTCATGTTCAACTCCAGACTTTTTTTGGGGGGAGCAAAGCAAAACAAAAGCCAGCTGTCCTAAAAGCTGACAAAGCACGACAGGTCATTGCAGATAGGCTGGGATTTCCCAAGCCAGCCAGAGGTATTGCTGGGAATCCCACTGATGTCCCAGCGCAGGATCTTAGGTAGGCGCTCCAGGTTGCGCAGGGAGGCACTGATACATCTTGACAACACCAAAGGCAGCCTAACCACAYGTTTCCAGCACAGCCCAGGGTGGAAGGAATTGTGGTCAAAAGCTTTGTTCRACAGGATAGACAAGTAGAAAATGTCACCGACATGCAACAAATTACAGCCTGTCACAGTCATGCTCTGCACAGACCCTGACAGCTCTTGAAAACTGGAATCATGTACCATCCCACCTGTACAAATTCAAGCAAGTTGCTTCTGCTGTGCCACCAGCAGACAAGTGTTCTCTCCAGAGTCAGGGATTTTAATGTGAGGAATGAAAATGGTAAAAGTYCCCTGCTTTCTGCCCTGCTTGTTCCTCATCTCTTAGAAGACAACAAGCACAAATCCTACAAGGCAAAGGATTTCTCAGCTAGACAAAATGATTTACAGGAGGAATAACCACATAATGATAGGCATGAGACAAGTGCTAAATTTACTACAGCTTTGTGCTGGCTAATCTTGCATARAGTGAGGACATTTAGAGCTGTTGCTTCTCATCCTGCTTCTGGATTACTGCAATTCATATCTGTTGTTCTTCAGTTCTTACAAAATCAACCATATAGCTTTGGCAACATATTCAAAAACACTGTCATCTCCCAGCACACTGGAAATATCAGTTGTTTGCCAGAAACAACTCCCTGGGAAGCACACAGAGAGTCTGGTGGGAGACAAGTATTCCAGGTTCTCAGAACATTTGATTGGAGATGCCACAGTGATAATTGATCTGTACGGGAATATCTGTAACAAACTGCAGGAAGGCTTCATCAGTACAACTGGTGATAAATGCTGCTGAATATGGTGAAACAGGTTGTTTACATAATATATATTTTCCTGACAGTCTGATACACAGTAATAATGCCACCATGCAGATGGCAAGGGTTGGTTTTGGMCAGACAGCAGCTCTACAGGATCTTTCAGCATAATGTTGTTTTTCAGTTCTGCGTCTCTTGATGAATGGTTTGTAGGGAAAGTAGGTTTTTCAGGCTTAAAATTTAATCCAGGGTGGGGACAGGAGAGCAGGATGCAGCACACCCAGTCCCACATCCAGTGGCATGAGCCACTGGCTTCACTCTGTCTCCCTTTCTTGCTCTGTCAGATGGATGCAGTTGTTTACTGATGGCCAGGACTGGTGTTTGGGACTAAATGTCCTTGGCAACCTAAGTGCCTGGGTTGGGGTTCCCTGGAGTCAACAGCAGCGGCCTTTTGAAGCCATCCTAGTAACAAAGTAAGTATGAGTTACTGTGTGATGCTCAAACCAACATTTCCATAGAGTGCCGGAGTCCTGTCACTGCATTCAAGAACTTCAGCAAACCGGTTTCCAGCAGMACTGAGCTGCAGATAAATGGGAGATGGCAAATCTGCCTAAATCTGCAGAAGATCATGCTGCTGGAATTGTAGTTACTGAAGTCTTTCCAGAGTTACCATATAACAATGGTCATATTGCTCCAAAAATAAAAGCTAGGATAGCCCTCACTCAGGTGATACTTACAGGAAAAACTACTAAAGATATGCTATATACCATGGTTTCATCTGATTCTCCTTCTGGGATATTGGAACACTCTCTTAAGTAGACCAAGTTGAACTTCCAGCTGTTGTCATCTCAGCTCAAAAATATAATTAGCTAAGTCTGTGTGATGATGTGATGTGCAGGTGCTGAGCTAACATGGGTGTATTACCCCTGATGACTCTAAACATCCTGCAGCAGTCCTAATAAGCACAGGATAACTGGTAATGGGAGCTGGTACAACCAAGTCTCTCTCGACTGCTCGACTAAGGACACAGCAAACATTAGCTGGGCATCAGAAATGAGAAGAAAAATAAGTACTTTAAAGCAGTTACAAATATTCTGCCTTCTGARTGGGCTGTTTGGAATGTTTTTCTGTATTTGAAAGACACCTCATTGTCTTTTTGAAGAAACACCAAATGGAAGAGTGTCTGAGAGTGCTCCAGCACATCCCAGCTGATGCAGAATCAGTCCAAAGCTATAGACACCCAAGCTGCCACAAGTGCCTATGTACTGCTCCACAGCAAGCATGGAATTCCATCCCATGATGTCCCTTGTTTTCCAATGCCAGTCATGCCACTTCTCATGCTGGAGCTAAAAGTGGTGCTTTCCCCCCCACCTTTTTTGTTTTGGTTTTGGGATTTTGTTTTGGGGGTTTTTAGCTTGAAAAACATCTGGTATCTGGTTCCTGGAAATAATTCTGGAACTGATTTGACCAAACCACCAGAAGGAATACAAAGGAATAGAAAAGGAGTGAGAATTCCTCATAATTCCTCATAAAGACGCACCAGTCTTCTTTGATTAGACCACCACTGGCTCTTGCAYACCTTTACTAACAAGTTCATGGATGCACAATGCCTACTGAGACAGCCAATACTACTAATTTATTTTTTTTAACCCAGATCAAATCAAAAATTGCAAAAGGCTATATCCTGAACYGCCTTTGCAATTCCCGTTGCACTATGTGTGCCCTGGGGAGCAAGTCTATAACTTTGTGGAAGCATTAACGCCTCTTTGGTGAATTTTATGTTCAGATTTATTTCTTCCAGCACACATTAGATATTCCTACCCCCTGCAGAATAGGGCACAAAAGATTTCTGGGAAACTGAGCTCTGGCTTTTCACCAAACTAGGACAGATGTGCCCCGAAGCCCTCCTACACGATACCAAACACTGTGCATTCAACAGACCTGCTGGTTAATGATCATGCCCATAAGTAATGTTTTAACCTTGGAGTGGTTTTTGTTTKCTTTGAAAGCCACAAAGCCAAAGAGGAAGTGTAGGAGAACGTGGGCAGGACAGTGGCCAGGAGCCTCATGACCTCATCTTTTTCCACCACATGGGGATTGGTGGCTGTGCTTGGGACAGGGTTTAAATTCCCAGAGCTCAGGGATGTCAGGCAGTCAGGGGACAAGGGGAGAAAGCCAGAGSWGYTGAGAGCCAGCTGGCTGGAGCYGCTGCTGGGATCACCAAGAGTGCTCTTGCTGTGGCTGACTCCTCCAGCACCAAAAAGGTAACTTTTTTGCTTTTYTACCTGACATGTGCCAGTCCATCTGCAGCTATAGTCTAGAAAACATTGAGCAGATCTTTGAAAACTGCTTCACTGGGCAGGGAGGTTTGATATTTCTCTGTGGAAAAAGGTGTTCTTTTATAGGAGCAGCATTGCTTTAGCGATGCCAGGTATTACACATCATCACAATTTTAAATTTGTGTGCTRATAGATTTTGGGAGAAGGTTACTGAAAACCCTGCCACTGAATCATGTGCTGGAAAGTCAGTGCTGGTGCTTGAACACAGAAAGCTTTCTCCCTGTAACCACTGCCTGGCAGTGTCTTTGTTTCTCCTGGCAGGCTCACAGTTTGTGCTGCACGATCCTGAGTGGATGGGACAGTCACTTTTCCCTGTGAAACTCTCCTGTCTCAGGGACAGCCTTACTAATGCATTTKAAATGTCCTAAGTAGCTTTCTTTCCTGCTGTGATTTACCAAAGTTTTGAATGACKCTTGCTCGTCAGTAAATTGGTTTAAATTCTCAGGGATGWTTCTTATTCTGGGAACYGGTCAGTAAACACTRAAATTTACTGTAGCYCTCCTTGTTTCAGCAGGAATAAGYTATTTATTAAATTGCTAAAGCTGCAATGTGAGCAGCTATTTCACTTCATCTCTTATTTGGAAATACAGCTTATTTTGTTCAGACTTCTGGAGGTGGAAACACAGGTGTGTCAATATAAGCAGTTTATGTTCATATAAACAAACTTTACTCATCAACTCAAGTTAGTAACCCTAAAATCAATGTTTAAAAAAACTGACAAGAAAATCCAAATTAAGTTTGCCTTAACCTGCCTTTTTATAAAAACATCATGTTAAATTAATGAAGATAAACAAAAGCTGATATTTATAAGACTTTTTCACAAAGCTTTTCCTTTGCCTGTGCAAGTCAGTAGATGACAGGAGTCATCACTTTCTCAGTGGGGCTATTCTCACCACAGCTCAACTCTTCTAAGCACTTAATTTTAAAATTATTGTAGCTTTTGAGTTGCTAAATCATTACAAACCAGCTGGATGGAGAGTGGTGATGGAGGACAGGTGGAATATAATTTGCATGGGCATGTTGAATCTGTAGCAGGGACCTGGTCCCAGCACAGTGAAGTACACCAGGAAAAAGGAAAAGCTATAGCATTTTTGTGCTATTTCACCTTGTTGACTCACCATTCTGAAATATTTTCTAGGTAAAACATCACAATGAAGGTGGCAGTTCTGTGTTTATGCCTTATCAGCATCACCGCTGCATGGCCAGTGAGTAAATCCACAAACATGCATCACCAACCACTTGCATTATTTCTTCTGCATATTGGTGACAAATACTGATAAATGCTTTTTGTCTTTTCTCCCTTCAAGGTGATTCAATCCAAGCAGCATGCCACTTCTGCCAGCTCCGAAGAAAAATATGTAAGCTCCTTTTGCCTCTCTATTAAATTTCTTTTATAAATGCTTCTCTTTTTTTTTGTTTTGTTTTTGTTTTTTGTTTGCTTGTTTTCCTCTAAAACACATTTTCTGGTACTTTTTCTATGATTGTAATTGCTGGCAGAACATGTCCTACCTGGCTGTTATGAGCCAGTTTCAAAGCAGAGAGCCACTGACAGTCACAGATTTTTCCTGTGTCTTGTGTCTTGATTGTGGACTTTTGTTAGTTCCATCTCTGGACCAGCACTGGAAATCTTTTCTTTAATGAAAAATGTGTTAGCTGTCAGCTAAAAAGAGGAAAGGATTGTAGCATGGTAAAACTGCTGTAACCCACATTTGTTAGTGTGGATCAGATGACAATATTTGGTGTTGGAAGAGCACTTCAATCCAATTTCCTTGGTTTTTTTGGAGTGGTATAAGTGAACTACATTAATCTTGTATATAGCTGTTTAGTTTATGCTCCACTGCCAGCTGCTAACCTTGTAAAATCAGTTTTTTTTGCTTTGAGAATCAGCTATTGCATTTAGTTTAGAGTTTTGTGATGCAGGAGATAAATCACCCTCCAGAAGAGGACCTAAGAATTAGCAGAAACAGTGGTTGTTAGATATAATTCTACTCAATAAAAACAAGCTGGAGAAACTGATCTGAATTTCCACGGGCTCTGCCAGTGGAGAGACACATCTACATACAGTTTGGGTACAGTGTTCATGTGGGATCTTGGCTTGTTCTGAGTCCTCTTCCTACTGCAATGAGTAACTGAGAGCACATCCCATACAGAAGGACTGCAGATGACACATCTGCCTGAAAACAGAGGCTGGGATGCAGGGAGCTTTGCCTGACCCTTTGTGGATTAACCCCTCCCTTTTATTTTCTCTCAAAGGACTCCAGRGGCCATCACTTGCGCAGATACCACAATGACCACGTGAATTCTCAGTCTCAGGAGAGTCAGCAGCACCCACAGAGTGACCTGGCATCATCTCAGCAGGTACAGKCACCTAACGGGAAGAGAAAGCAGAGCATCTTTCCATGCCAAAATTTGCAAGTTACAATTTAGTGCATGAAAAGCCAACATGTTGATCAGCCCTACTGTATGTGGCTTTGTGTACTAATAGTGAGTTTTGTCTTGCTTTCAGACCCTTTACTCCTCAGAAGAAAGCGTGGATGTCCCAGTACAACTGGTAAGTGTTTTGAGGGACAACATGCTGGTTGAGCGTGGCAGGGCAGCCAACATGTAGCTCATTTTCCCAGCTTTCATTTTCGTCAGTCAGGTGTGGTTCATGCAGTAGCATCTCTCCCAAAATTAAACCAAGCTCCAGGCAGGATGAGGTGAATTCAGAGCAATGCCTGCACGTAGCTCCTCAACAGTGCAGAAGCCCTGGGTGTATGGGACAGACACCAGACTGCACCTCTCACACCCCTGTTCGTTTGCCTGATGCATAATCAATGTTTTCCAGCACTTTCCAGATGTGTCAAGCAAGAGCCACGAAGACRTGGATGATGATGATGATGATGACAATGATTCTAATGACACAGATGARTCMGATGAGGTTACCACAGTTTTTCCCTCAGACATTCCAATAACTGAACCATTGCCCACTTTCCCCTTCACCCGTGGAGACAATGCTGGCAGAGGTGACAGTGTGGCCTACAGGATGAGGGCAAAAGCCGCACTGTTCAAGTCTAGGAAACTCCGCAAAGCTGTCAAAAAGGTAAATAGCACTGAGCAGTGGCACTCATGTTTTTGGACATGGGGAGTGAACTCGAAAACAGGCCTGTCATTTCATGGGAGTTAGTTTTGAAAAGAATTGGTATGGGGAAAATAGGCAGAAGAGAAGGAATGGATTTCCTTTCTCTTGGTACCACAAATCAGGGGGTCTTGATGGCTGCTGATGTACTGGGGCAAGAGTGTAGCCCACTGCCGCAAGCTGTGCAAAACTCCAGTTTGCACTATCATGATATACTTGCACAAGTGAGGCCAGGACCAAACGCAAGTTTCTTACAATGTGAAAATTTCATGTAACTCCATAAAAGATCAGAGTATTTCCAGGCAGAGGCGCATCATGCGGGCTTTGAAGGTCCCCGCAGCCCAAGCAGCCTGCTTTAGCTCCTCAGGTCCTCAGGAGTGACAATGGCTCTTGTTCTGCTCTCTAACACAGCTCTTTTACGGTGCCACTGAGGAAGATGACAGCGACACGGATGCAGACAGCCAGCGCTCTGTCTCCCGGGAGGATTCTGCTTCCCGCAGCTCCCTGAAGAAGCACGCCGTCAGCATGCTATGGTCTGACCAGAGYCACGGGCGGGACAGCAGCGAGCTGGACAGCAATCCGCGGGACCGGAGCTTGGAAAACGACAGCCGGCACAAATACGACAGCCGCGAGGCAGAAAGCGACAGTAGCAAGTCTAGTGTCAGAGGGGACAGCTTCTCGAGTGTGGAAAGCAAGGAGAGCC